GGGAAAGAGGGGCACAGGGGACGGGGCGAGGGAGCCAGGTGGAAAAGAGAGCAGCAAAGAACCGAGACGCGAGCCGACGCTGCACACGTCGACCGGTTGATACGCACCAAGTGTGTCATTCGAGCGCGACGCCATCGGCGATCCATCATCGAAAATGCCAGCGAATGAATAATGGACGAATCAATGTTGCCGTTCCGGCACAACTATGCCGGACTTTTCGACCGTCCCTGAAGCGGTCGCGAGTTTCAGCATTGCTAGTGTCATCTGAGTTTCCAGAGTTCCTGGTAGATCCCTAGCCTGGCGAATTTTATCTGTATAATTGTAGCATTACTGCTGGATTAATTCTATGCAGACAGGGATCTGTGTGTCTAATAAACAACGACTTCTTTTTAATGACAAACAGATTTATTTAACTAAAATATTACACTAGGTTCCTCTCAACTTTGAATCTCAAGCACACGGTTCTTTATTCTCTGTGTCTCGACTACACACATTCTGCACCCTTGCACCCTTACTTAACACCGTTACTGTTGACTGCAGTGGGGGTCACTTGTGCAAAATCGTCTTATATTTCGCACACTTCCAATGCTAAAGATTGCACTATCGTAATGTTATTATTTTCAATACGTAGCTTCGTTTTATGGGAGAAACGTCACGGCGACGCCCACCATAGCGAAAGGGTTAATACTATCTCCTTTGTCAGCATCCTTCACTGCTCGCAATATAATATAATTGTAATGTAATTGCGAATATTTTTTAGAATTTATCAAAAAACAGTCCATCCTAGACGTATCGTTCAGTTGAAAGAGTTAGGACACCTGGCAGCCGCAGGGGTTGGGTCTCGTTAAAATTTTCAATAATTGACAGGCTACTGACACGGTGACCAATTTAGTGCAATCAAATCATCGAGCCAATCGCAACAATGAAGCAGACGGAGTGGCAATTTTCCAAGCAACGCGTGCAAAGCAGTCCACGAAAATGGCCGGCTCGTGTGGCGCGACTACACGATCCGGCAATTGAATAACACGGAGAGGCTCGGATATATGGAATGGATAGCCGATTATTATCGCGATATAGCATCCGTCGAGAAGTCTGGTAATTGGCGGGAGGAAGCGTAATCGCGGCGTTAACACCGCTTTCGACAAATACCGGCGTTTCTATCGCGGCTTTCGGATCGATCCGAAAGCCCTCGCGCGCGTAATCCTGAAATTTGTGATTCATTCATCGGGCTGGATCGTTTCATTATTCATCCCTCGATCGTTTCCGTTCGCTACCGATGATCCTGATAATTTCGGCTGCCGGGGAGTTATTATGGCGGCCGATGGCCACGTGAACCAGGCGTGTAAGGAAATTTAAGAGCACCGAGGGTGAGCACGCTTTAGAACGAGGCGCGATCACGATGTTTAGGATTCCTTAAGTACGTACACATGTCGAACTGGCCTAAGTGGCGGCGGTGAGTGTGTTTACGTGTACACGAACGAGGGACGAGACTTCTCGGGGAGAATGATGCGTGGTAAGTGAGAGATTTAGAGCGCGACTCCGAGGGGAGAGAGCCTCTGCCATGGTTTCGGCTGAGCATTAGTCCCGGCGCAGAGTGGCCGGGAAGAATCACCTTTATCTTCGCTTATCTCGGCTCCATTGATTTATTACCGTTGCTCGATCCACGGGGCCAATGTTCCACGTCTATCGTGCCATTACGTAATTAAAACTCGATAACCAGCCGCGTTTCTGTAACCTTCGAACCGTTTACGAGCGTCATCCGCGCCGTGTTTCTCGTCCATTTTGGTTCGTCGTCGACAGCGACACGTAACTGTCAGTGACGGGAAAAGCCGACAGTTTCAGGATCGACGTGTAGAAATTGATTAAGACGCTCGTTAACGAGCCTCGGGGTAGTTTAGGAACGTTTCAACGGAACAACGAACGACAAAGCGGCCCAGCCACTGTCTATTGGACTGGAACACGACGTGGCTCGTTGGAAACGTCACCAGAAATAATCTACGTTCCCGGGCCCGAAGGCGATACTATCGGATCGGGATCGACCGGCTAATTGCAGTGAACAAGCAGCACGCTGCACGGCTGCCCGCTAAATGCAGGAAATAATGCATTTCGTGAGCCAGTCAATCGGTCATCTTATTACGGGACTCAGCGAGACGATGAGTAGGTATGACGAAGGTGGTCGGATCATCGGGACCAGACAATTTAATTGTTCCAACTTAAATGGAGAGCAGCTGCCTCCTGGTGGCCTAACAAGCTGGTAATAACTTGGCTCCTAAGGTCTTCCTCTCTTTGTCTGATCCTCGCCACCGTCGTCTTTCCTTGCCTTCGCTCGTTTAGAATGCGACTACAGCCTTGCTCGGAGATTCTCCACTTTGTAGGTTGCTTCGATGAGAAATTTATTTCATCTCTATCGTGTCTACAAATATGTACAAACAAGTTCCAATATAACGTTGATTCGTCTACCGCCGCTTAAGACGGTGCGCTTAACTCACTAGCGCCACCACGGCCCGTATCTACGGTAAACGTACCGTAAACGTCGCGTATGTCGTTCAATAATTTCATAATTTTACTAATGTACGTGTAATATATTTTTCAGGCTCGGAACGTAGCGAACACGACAGAGTATCTCCGTATACGAGTGCAGACGTCCTCAATAACGGACACGGAGCTTGGCCTCGAAGACCTTAGTGTAAACATAGAGCGAAAAGGAAACACCGGTGCGGAATGCGGCCGTTATGTCGAGTGATAATACACCAGCGTGGACACCGACGGAGCCTACGCTCGAGGAAAGTGGAAAGTAAACATTAGACAAAGAAACGCGAAGCGTTCCGAGGTTAGTATGTGCGTGGATCGCGAGCTGCGAACAACGACGAGAACGCGAAAGACTATAACGCGCTAAAAATTAATTCCCCAATCGCGTCGTTCGTAAAACCGTCGTTGCTAGTGATGTTCGCGTGGAGTGCAGTGATACGTGGCGTAGTGGGGGAAGCAGTGGAGTGTCCGTGCGCGACGGAATCTTTGGTTCGGACTGTAGGGGCTAACCGTAACGCCCATGACCCTGACGCTTGGATTTACAAACGAGGGCTCTGCTATCCGTAAACCAGCAGGTGCTTCCGTGATGGCAGCGGTGTTCGGGAAAAAAGAAATAGCTCGCTGCCAGCCACGTCCCTCGCTTCCTAATTCCTCGTCTTAATCACGAGGATCGTTCGCTTAGACCCGGCTAACAACCGGCGAGACGCGAGTCCGTGCTGGCCGCGTCAGGCATCGAGCGTTCACGCGTACAAAGTCGGACAAGAGGAAGAGGATAATCCGCCTGGATTCCATCGGACACGTCGTTTCGTCGGGAACGAGAACAATTCGACGCTGGAGGAGCCGTGGAACGCGTTGCGTAAGAGATTGGATGCGTCCGAGTGGCTGCCCTGGAAATGGTAAGTGGAGATTCTGTTACTAGGCATGCCGTTATCGATATTAATCCTTTCAACCGGAGGACGTTTCGAGCACGTCTCTGTTGAAATATTACTTTTCCGTGGTATCGATAATCGAGTGCATCGACGATCGTTTCGTGTCCGCGATAAGATACATAACACGTGGTTTCCGGTATGGAATTTGGTACGGCTTATAGCACCGGGATCCATTTTCGATCGTACGTTTCGTATATTGAAATAGAATTTTCCACACTGAGTATTGTACCATTTATCGTGGCTCGTGTAGCATAAGTCCCTCGCGTGAATTTGTTTAATCCTTTGCACTCTGTTGTCATCGCTATGGCGACATTGTAAGATAGTCTGTAACTCCTAGTCGATATTAATTAATATATCAAATTTAATGCAACGTAACAGTGTGCGAGGTATCGAAATCAAATAATTCTACAATTCTATTATGCTCAAAGAAGTATCGTCAGTTTTTTAGCAAAGGATCTTTGAATTTCTACTCTTCTGTAGCCAAAAGGTTAATAGATAACATTGCACTTAAATTCATCCGACGATCCATCCGACGATTCATCCGGCGATCCATCCGGGTGGTCCCGGCACCACTTGATTCCGTTCGTCGTTGATATTCCGGCGGACAAGAATGGAAGCTTCCTCGAGCGGTTCTTTGTTAAGATTTAGCCGAGGACCGGCCGCGGCGTGATAAATTTCGATTACGTGGTCGCGGCAACCCCGTCCCCCGGATGGACTCGATGGCAAAGGGGAGAAAAAAGGAGGGAGGAAGAAGGGGTTGCAGGTTCGCTCGTGGCAGCCTCGTTGGTGACCGGAATAATTAGGATCAACGGAAAGAAAATATCTAAGCGCGTCACGTAACCTGGCGTTCTCAAAGGGGCAGAAATGTATTCACAGCGGGGTGGTCCGAGCGTGCGGTAAGAGTCAAAAGACATTACCACAAAAGGCCGCGGAAACGGCCCTCAAAAGGGGGCAGACCCGGTCCTTCCGCTCACAATTAGGAAGCCGGATTAGTATAACGAGTTTTCCTGCCGTTTACGTCCGAGATGCGTCGCCACGAGACTTCTAAATGCCGACCCGAAAACCGCGTTAAGCTTACACGTACCGCGACCCTCTTTCGCTCGAAATCAAGGAGACACTTTCTTCGGGCTCGATCTTCCACGCCGGGGTAGGTGGAAAATGAAATTTCCCTTCCCTTCTCCCCGCAGTTCCTTCTTCGGGGTGTATTTTTACGCGGCTACTTTTCAGCGTGCTCCTATTAATTGTTCCTGCAAGATGACCCAGAAAAATTTTCCTCCAATAATTCGGATTCGAATTTTTAATTAGCCGTGTTTGCAGCGTGGGTGCGACTATTTTTCAACGTTTCCGTTTTCATTGTTCGCGGAAGGTGAGCTAGGAAAATTTGAAACAACAGATTTTACTAAGCAGGGTTAGTTGCGTTATGGATTAAAGCACGAGCATGATTACTTTTCGATATCCTCGGTTTTTCCTCTCGAGGAAAATGAATTAGACGATCTTTCCTCGAATAATTTGATAAGATGAAAGAATTCGAGCTTGATTGAATTAATTTGCGTAATTTATGATTGACTCGTATCCCCAATTCTTTTCCAGTTTTCTTTCCCACTGTGGATAGAAATGGACACCAATATCTTATACCTTTCTTAACAGTTCACACATTAGTGTATATTGGACCAAGAAAAGAAAAAGACAGCAGAGTTGGGAATTTTAGGTTTAATTAATTTTAGGTTTAATTAATTGTAGATTTAATTAATTGTATAATTTATAATTGACTCGTATCCCCAATTCTTTTCCAATTTTCTTTCCCACTATGGATAGAAATGGACACCAATATCTTGTACCTTTCTTAACAGTTCACACATTAGCATATATTTGATCAGGAAAAGAAAAGAACAGCTAAGTTGGGAATTTTAGGTTTAATTTATTGAGATACATGAAATACTTTGGCGATGTATACAGAGAAAGAGCGAGAGGTGAACCAAAGCACAATATATAAGGGCAGAAAAGTAACGTCATGCCGTTGAAGTAATTAGTTATAAAACAAAAATAAAGATGTCGCGATTAGAACAATCTGTCTAACAGTACATTTAGATAAAAGTATTTAAGTAACGAAAACATCTCGCAATAAACTATTTTCAACAAAGAAAATTGATTGACACTTTCTAAAATTGAAAATTCTTCTCCCCCTCTCTCACTCTTATTAACCCTTACATACTCGTGTTTCCTCTTTGACGATTCTCATATAATTGTTTTATTCTGGCAAATTCTTCTAAACATTTTTTCAAACATCATTCACACTAGACTGCACTCGTACATATTATATTTATATCATCGCAAATGAGTTTCGCTAATTCAACCTTGTTGGACCGGAGAAAGAAACGAACAACAGAGTTTGGAATTTTAATATATCGTTTAATATATTGATATACATGAAATACTTTGACGAGTGCAAGGGGTGAACCGGAGCACGATATATAAGGATGATTGTTATTATTGATAGGATTTTATGTAGATTTTACTTACAAACCACAACAGTTTTACTGGATATCTATTTTACTTACATTGATACACACGATGTTTCTCACAATAGATGTTATTCAGAACTAAAGATAAAGGGCACTATTAGATGTTGTTCACGTTCATCCACACACACATACACACTCATACTTCCATGCATGATTCGTCGATGGCCAAGCACAGGACGTTACCGATTTACAGTTGAATAAATATTCGTGTTTCTTCACAGTTTTAAGCGATTTATTTTAAACAATCTTGGAATAGACGGCGAGTAGATCGATAGACTGACAAGTTGAGAAGATTAATCATAATATTCCCTGTAAATTAGTCGTATTATCGAATAGCCAAATCCAAATCTCACCACAAACGACAATCTCCACAACTAGCTAGGTAATTCGCCAAAAATCTGGCTTCTACCAACCCCATCGAGGTGTCTCCTCCATCACGCGACACGCAACGAAACCCAAAGTAAACACCTATCTAGCAACCAGAACCATTAAACGCGCTACACGTGGAGAACAGCGAGGCATCGAAGCGAAAGCGTAAAGAAGGTACAGGCTTTGCGCGTAAACTCGCTTGACCTGGCGGGTGTGCGAGACCCCGGACAAGTGTCCCCAATTTTTATCCACACCCCTATTGCCAGTTCTCAGGCACAGGGAGGAAGAGAAAAAGGCGCGTTCCCGGCTCGTAGCCCTGCGTCGGATCTCTCGGATCTACACTTCCGAGCGGCTCTTAACTCGCATTGTTTCCCGCGAAAAGACGTAATGACCGGACGTGGTGCTCACGGACGCCTAATATTAGTGTTTCAGCGCGGTAATACGTACAATGTCCGTGGCAAAGTACAACGTTCGGAGAGTCGCGTCGAAGCGTTTCCCTTAACGGTCGCGTACCATTGAAATTGATCGGTTCGTCGAATCGTAGGACTTTCATTTTCGACGTTGCACAGGCAACGTCACCGTGCCAACGGTACAGCGGATCCCGTGGGCAGGGATAATGGTCAGGGGTGGTGTTTTATGCGGTCCGCGCGCTGCAAGGGAAGATGCTGATCGCTTAACCATTCTCCCTTCCTCTCCCTTCCGCTCCCTCTTCCTCTCCTACTTCTCCGCTTCTTCCACCCGTCTCTTACCTCGTCGACGTGCCGTCCTCCCTTTCTGTCCAGCCAGCTTTCAGTGGCGCGGCCATAACAGCAATTTCCACTAAGGCTTTTTTTTTCCCCGGCCAAGACCAACCACGGCGATCCCGGTGGCCGTCGTAGCCGCCGTAGGAGATCGCTGCATGAAAATGTAAGCCGGATCCTCCTGGCCGTGGAAGGGAGAAAAAGAGGGCCTTGCCCGCTCGCGGAAGCTGCACGCGCATCCACGCGTATCGACGACTCGGAAAAACCGCCGCAATCTCGCCGATTGCTCGCCTGCCAGCGCCTCCGATTGCTCCGACCCAACTAAATCTCCGCGACAGAGATTTCCTGGTGTTCTTGCGACGCGTCATGACTCGTGTCCACGCGCTGCCGCGTCAGGACCAGCGCGCGGAAACGATGAATCTTCTAAACGAGTAAGAGCGTATAGGAATATGCGAGGTCTGGTTACCGATAAGGCGGCGCGAGTGACGAGTACGTAACAATGTTAACTGGTGTCTCGAGACGAAGAGGTGGATTAACAAAAGAGGCCCACTTTTTAAAGGGCAGCTCGAGGAGCGAACCGCGAAGTTTTACACGAGAGACGAGAACGACGTGTGAATATTATATCCAACGGAATAAAGCACAATCGACCACCGAGTGATTAAGCTTTTACACTTGTGGTAAAGATCGGATTTATAGAGATTGAACTTTTAACTTTGATTATGTTTTATTTCCTTACGGTACAAATGCGCGGAGGCTTGAGTCTTCTGAGATGCGTGATGCA